CGGCCTCATTCCCTTCTTTAATTAAAATTCCATGTGACACTCTATCAGCATGTGCAGAATTGATCATAAATCCTGGATTAGCTGCATCAAAACTCTAAACCTTGTGACTGGAGCCAGTGAGATGTTGTTGGATTTAGTCTCTAATCGCTGCTTTTATTTACCTCCTGTGCTCATTAAAATTTACAAATTTAAAGTAGCTCTTTATAAAAAAAATAATTTAAAAAAGAAACCCACCCAATTTAATTTGGCTTTGTTTGACATTCATTTCTGTACTTTTCCATCTTTGGAGATTGCTAAGAGGTGCTCTACTCCGAGAGCAGAGCTAATCAGCTCAGCGATAAGCATGTTACTGCTCCAGTTTTGATTTGAGGAACAAAAAAAGACTCTGCAATCAGCGGAACTCACATCAGTTAGAACCGCAGAGAGAAGCACAGAATCAAAATAGGCACCGGTGTTGTGCATCAGCCACTGATTCCCATGTAGGTGAAGGATAAAGCCAGGAGACGTGTCAAATCCCTGTGATAGAGATCTCAGCAGGGATGCATAACATTAACCCAGTGAGGTAGAATGATAGCCTCTCATTGGTGATTTCTCCCAGTATCAGATGACAGCATGTCTCTGTTCGTCTAAGCTGGAGTCAGACTTGGTATCGATCTCTTCAATCCTCTCTAAAACTGAAGTTCATCAGACAGAGACAGAGAGAGAGAGAGAGAGAGAGAGAGATGCTCTGTCCTCTGAGATGCAACTAGAAGTTACGTATTAATCAATGAAGAAGAAGAAGTGCTGAAGGCTCATTCATCAATTGGTCCTCGCAGCCATCATATTTTATTGATTCAATCCATTCATAGTAATTTTAGGATAGGCTACCAGTTATCTCCATACTATCTATCTATCTATCTATCTATCTATCTATCTATCTATCTATCTATCTATCTATCTATCTATCTATCTATCTATCTATCTATCTATCTATCTATCTNTATCTATCTATCTATCTATCTATCTATCTATCTATCTATCTATCTATCTATCTATCTATCTATCTATCTATCTATCTATCTATCTATCTATCCATCATACAGTATCTGATGTGGGTTATTTGTTGTGCTGTCAGGCCAAATTATTTAAAGCAGCGCCTGTAATTACTGCAGGAGATAATCATTTATTCACCTGAAATATTAATACACACAGAGGCAGGAAGCATGATCAATATTAATCTTGGCTCCCACACAAACACAGGCACACACACACACACACACACACACACACACACAGACTGCTAAACTCCCATTAATAATTAAGATGAGTTCAAGCTGCAAACATGTCAGCGTGAATGCAAATGCCACGGATTTCGTCAGCAAGTCACTGAGCTCTGAAATTGGTAATCCAATGTTAGTGTTGGTCAGCATGAATTTGAAGGAAATTTCACAACAGACAACAACAAAACACACCCGGCTCTGGTGAACTTCACGAGCAGTCATGAATAAATATTTCCCAAATAAAACACCAAAAGATCAAGCGGTGTCCATATTGAAGTGTGTTGCTTATTGCCAGCCCCTGAAGAGCAGCTCTGAATGGTGTGAAAATTGTAGATGCGGGGCCGTGAATCATAACTGGAACAGTGACTGTGAAACTGTTTTGACAGCGGTGCATTTTAGGCCTGTCAACTTTGACAGCGAGAGCGCTTGTACAGGAACGCCCCCCATACTAATGCTAACATATGCGGTGAAAGTGTAAAATGGAGTCAAGGGACACAAACAGTCTGACAGAGATACGAGGAGATGCTCAGCAGATGATTCAATTTAAGTCGTACAAGACCGACAAATCTCTTCAGTGGAAGGCTATTTTGGAGGGAAGCCAAGCGAAAGGTGGCAATAGTTGTAGCGTGTCACCATCTCTGACCACAAAAGACGACTTTTCAACCTCACTTTTCCATTTCCTTTGTCTTCTGTTTTCATTCATCACGCGTCCTTTTTCCTTCACCTGCCCTGTCCATCATCTCTTGCACTTTCCTCCTGCCCTCTTCCTTTTACTGCTGCCTCTTCCCCCCAAATGGACTGCATGGCCAATCGCCATAGTAACAGACAGCCATGACAGGTGGAGATAGCAGGTAGTGCGGCGATGCATGACTCCCCCTGGGACTGCAGAATGCCAACACTATAGAATGAAAATGAGCAGAACGTGCTCCCTTATACAAAGTCACCCTGCATTCAGAGTTTACATTCAATCCGCTGAAGGTTATCGCAAGAGGAGTCCGTGCCTTATCTGCATTCAGCACATGCAGCAAAGCCACGCTGCCATTGTTTCACCATTCAGCCGGACAGAGGGGAGAGTGAAGTTCGGCGGATTTCAGCATGTTGTGTGCTTCTATTTCATCACTATCTATAGCCAGAGCTGAACCGTGGCAAGCTAAGCCAATCTGTTTCATGTCAATGAGGGACCGGATTCAACACTAACAAGCTCCTGCAACATATCTGGGACTGCAGCAAAAACTGTTCCCTCTACATTACATGTAATTTGATCTGATTCATGTGGGGAAACAAGCAAATGCTGACCTTGCACGACAAAGAATCCTTTTTAGAAACTTATTTACGTGCACTGCAGAGTCATTTTACTAGCGTATAATAAGACACACATGTATTAAATGACACCCGTCTCCAACACGCTCGGACAGCATGATGAGCACCGCACCCTCACGTCTGCATTAGAGCCATTTCTCTCCACACTTGACCACTGCAGCAGTCGAGCACGTGGAGGACAAAAGCGAGAGTTTTCTTAGTTGGATTGAAAACACACGCATTTCTCCAGTGCGGAAAGTGATTCTCGCTTGGAAGTTATCAGAAGATTTTTCGAGCTTGTAGATGGTAGTAAAAGGGGAGGGGCAAAACAAGCAGCATCCCTTTTTAATGAGATGACAGCTCACCTCCTGGTTTTAGTGGATGAAAGTGATGAGAGAAAGACCACAGCAGAGACAGAAAAAGAAACAAAGACAAACAGCAGACAGTGACACCAATCCTATACCCCTCCGAGACTCACCATGAGCAAACACACGGCCGATTCAGGCATGAGTTGGACAGCCATGACTGGATCCTTCTATAGATTCACGTGAAACGAGAACCAATTTTCCTAGATGGACCCGTCTTCGTTGTCTCTCTGTTCGTCTTCTTCTGAGCCGTCTCTCGGGAAGCAAGCTCACCTCGGTCCAGGTGGAGACCTGACGACCTTTCGACTAGTCTTCCCACTCTGTGTCCTTATGATCACCTCCCCTCTCTGCCTCTCAGTCAGTGCTGCAGACAGCTCCTCAGCTTCAATTGTAAATCCACAGCCTATGGAGAGTCTGTGACATCCCAGTCTGTGTGCGACTCTTCAGACTGTGCCTCCTTCTTGCAGCTCTTTGATCTGTGAGCAGAGTAGACCCCCCTCACTCCTCCTTTCACTTTTAAAACACTCCCTGCGGACCCCACGCCCACCTCCCCCAGACCCTTGTGACTCGGGTGCCTCTTGCTAAATGCTCCCCTCCCTCTGTTGCTGGCTTCTGCCTCCTTTTTTTTTTCTTCTTTTCTTTTTTTGCAGTCTACTGTCTTCACAACACAAAGCACATCCAGGCATGCACGTGGGTCTTTCTCCGGAGGCTGTCCTGTCGCTGCTCCAGAGGATGTAGGCTGCCTTGCATCAGTGATGTCCCCCCAGTCTGAAGCACTCTTCCACTGTTGGTGGGAAAGACAAGACGCTCACCTCAGCTCTCCACTCAGACATCCAGCACACAGAGAGCTCCCCTTTACATCAGTCCCCCAGCCTCATATATCATCGGCATGAAACCAGGGCAAGAGAGGAGAGGCAGATAAAGGAGAGTGTAGTAGACAGTTTACAGGAGGGTAGAGGATGAGGGAAAAGGCAGAGAGGAGGAGGGAGATGTAGCGGAGAGAGAGAGAGAGAGAGAGCAGCCACTGGTGAAAGAGGTCCACACTGAGATGAGCGTAAATGAAGGTGGGTGGAGACGAGGGAGGGGAGAGGGGAATGGAAATGGAGAGCAGACCGCGCCTATCGATGCCGGCTGAGGCAGCGAGGCAGCATGGGATGTGAGTGAAAACACTCCTAAGCTCACTTAATGAAAGGGGGGCTTACATGTGCGATTGTGCACGTGAGATTTGGACCCACGGTGTCGTGTTCACGGGCGTCAGACACAGAAGAATGCTTTGGCTTCGGGCTTTTGCAGGGCGGCGTTTGATATTAATCATTTGCATTGGAAACACTCCTATAACGTGGCTTTTGTTTTGCATGTGCTGGAGAGAGCATGCAAAGGAGAAACCGAGAGGTGAAACAAACAGTCACGAGAAAGCATCATTAGGAAGTAGCAAGGAAGGAGTAAATAAATACTCAGTGCAATCAAGCATATGCACATTTACAGTTGTGTACATAATCAGCATTACCCTCAAATGTGCAAACAGAATTTATTTATTTTACAATTTATAGCTTAAATTTTTAACAATAGGGAATTTTACTGTAATAATCATCACTTACCACATGTATTTTTACCATTGTTGGCTCAGTTCCTCATTCATGTTTATGTTCAACCTCTGTAGTGACTCAACTTACTTCCTCACACAGAGACAAAATTGAATTTCTGGGGCAAATAAAAAGATAAGAGCAGGCTGAACTTGTCTGATAAGAGGATAGACAGATAATAAACCACCAGGTCTGCAATATATGCACTTATTTTGCATATTGTTTTCACACCTCCATACATTCAGAGAACACAAAAAAAACAAAAACACCCTCTCTAACTTCCTCTAACTGATCTCGCTCACCTCAGGAAACTGAAAAATGCTTCACAGTATTTTCACAGCCACTTTAAAAACAGTGAGTCAACATTTGTGGGTGTTGTTATTCCAACAAGAAGTGGGGCTTCATACTGTTGTGTAAACCTGCAGTTCATGCAGTCTGTGTACACTTTGACCAAGTTTTCTTCACGTTAAACCACGCCCTGTACAGGCAGCTCAGAGTGCAGGGACAGGAAGCTAGAACCTGTGCCGTCTTGTTTCCCCTCAGCTTTGGTATGGAGTAACTCGTCAAACTTCATGTGGACAAACTCGAGGGGATATATGGTGAGTAGGTGTTCTCATTTTAATATTACACTGAGAAGACGGCAATAACACTGGTGGGAAATGTGTCACTATCTTTGTGCACTAAACTTGTTCCTGCTCTCATTTTATTTCAAAAGCAAGGACACAGTGCATGCAGTAATCACCTTGTAGTGTTCAAAAACAAATACATAAGCAGGCACTAAGCAACTTATTTATGTCTAATCTCTTTATCACTTTCTTCATATTGTTATTATTTTTAAAACGATTTACAGGTTTTCTTCCTGAGTTCAGCAGGAGATGGCACTGCAGAGTCGTAGGTCTGAGCCGGTTGGTAATGAAAGCTTGGAGGACTGGAAGTTCATTGGCGCAGGGGGATTTGGTAAAGTCTACAAGGCCAGGCACAAGGACTGGGGGTTTGACGTGGCCATTAAGTTAATTCATCATGCTGATGGGTATCTGACATTTTTCTGGAGACTTGTTTAAAATTCTGAAGTCATGCATTCCCAAAAAGTTGTCTCTTTTACTTTCTCTCTACCTCCTGCTCACCTCAGTGCTCCTTCTAACCGTCATCTGTGTCATTCCAGTGCCGTCATGTCACTGTGTCAGGAGGCTAATCACATGGATGAAGCTGCCTGTCCGTATGTGCTGAGGCGTTGTGGAATTTATGAGGGATACCCACCAAAAGGAGGTCCGTCCATGCAACGGGGAATAGTCATGGAGTTCATGGGAAGAGGATCTATTCAGACCCTGCAGAAGGACCTGTCTGGCCCTCCGCCGTGGCCCCTGGCCTTCCGCTTCGCCCACCACGTGGCTCTAGGAATGAACTTTCTCCATCAGAAGAAAATTTTGCACCAGGACCTAAAGCCATGCAATGTACTGCTAAATGATGACCTCAACGCCAAGGTAAAGGACCATCCACACACATCTTTATATTAAATATAAAACTCAGCTTAGTTGCCTGTTTACTGCGATATTTCCTTTCTTATTTTGAAGGTGGCAGACTTTGGTCTGTCCATGGTGTCCACCAGTGCTTTGACCAGCAACACAGAAATGACAGGAGTGGTTGGAGGCTCATATAAGTACATGCCTCCTGAGTCTTTTGATATATCATATAAACCCGTTCGTGCTTTTGACGTATACAGGTAAACACTAAACAAATACTTTTAGGAATGCTATATCATTAAAAAATAAATGAAACTTTAACAGTGTGGACATATAATCTGAAATCTCCTCTCTTTTTGCTCTTCATCAGCTACGGTGTCCTTCTCTGGTCTATTTTGAATGGTGAAGAGCCTTATCCAGGTACGGGTCATTTTCTCTAACTTTTGACAACTTTGACAATATTTCATTCAGAGAAATTGAAATCTGTTTGTTTCTCTCATAATGCATCACTTTGCAGCTAAACCAAGCAGAATGTACACAGCATGTGTCACACTCAGCTGTGCCTGTACATTTTGATGCATGTCTTTATTGTATTGCCTGTACTTTAGCGGCTGATCGTCCTCGTGTGGAACTGAGGATCCCCATGGGAGACAGACCTCCATGTGAGACAATTGAACAGATGGAGGTAGAGGGGTTGAAAGACCTGATTGACCTGATGAAGAGGTGTTGGAATGAGAATCCATCTGAGAGGCCAACCTTTGAATGTATGTGTTTGTCATGGTAACATACATGCTCAGTGTCACAGTAGCTTTGGGAGTCTTTGTTTAAAAATTCAACGACGAGCCTACAGTACATGCATTTATGTGACGCAGCTTTACATTAATACACGGTGTACTTTGTTTCAGGCTGCCGTGAAGTCACTGAATCTGTGCTGTCACAGCACGAGAAGGATGTTCCTGGTGCGGTCTATCAAGTGTTGACACAATTGGTACAACTTAAAATGCCATTTCAGAAAATTAAATATGGTATTGATTATGTAATTCATTGTAATTTACAGAGAATGCTTCTAAGTGGCATCTTTCTTCCTCATATTCATTTTTGTTCTCCGTGGTTTAGGCGTCGCCACAGAGCCATCAGCATTTCAACAACAATGTGGTATTCAGGTCTGCTCCCCGGATGCGAAGTAGGTTGCTCAATCCTGTTTGTGGGCCATTCTCATTCTTGTACTTACTTTCCACAGTAAAAAGCCACTCAGGTATTTATTTGTCTTTTTCAGAACAGTCAAATGATACCGTTGATCATCCCATCCGAGTGAAGGTATGTCTAATTGATGCTTATTTATTGAAAAGAAAATGTAGCTTTGTTTAATTAAGTCTCATTGAGATCATAAGAGAAAAAAAAGTAATATATTTAAATCATTTTTGCTACTCAACCACCACTACTCAAAATACACATAACCTAGATGGACAATAGACATAAAATTCTCAAAGTTTATACCACATGTGGTCACAGTGAATAAACCAAAACCAGTGCCAGATTTGTTACAATATGAACTGAGTTTTCCTTCATTTACCAGCAGAATCCTGTCAGTGTTCCTACAAAAAATCTGACTGTTGCAGACAAAGGTGTGTATCACTGATTAATTTTATTGCACTGATTGTCCTTGACATGCAAAGTAATTCAAGTTTATGAAGGGTAAAGTCCAGCATTTCATCTTGTTGTTTCATGTGCATTCTTTCATTCTTCTCCATTGACGAACAGCCAAGTTCGTCGATGAAAACCGGGCAGTTCTAATACAATCCGTTTCCGAGGTGTTGGCAATAGCAGAAGAGCTTGGAGACATGGTCCATCCTGAAGCCTACTCTGCGATTGAAGCTAAAACAACAAGCTATGGCCAAATGAGAGTCATCTACCAAAAGACATTACGTTCAGGAGGAGACGTGGTCAAAGCCGCCTTCTATGACGCCCTTAAAAAACATCACCCCAGGCTAGTGGAGAGGCCTGGTAAGATTTGCTCTTGTTGAAGTATTCAAACATGGATTCATCTCTGACAAGCTACTCTAGTTTTTAAGTTTACTTTCTTCTTCCCTCAGGTGGCTAATTCCAAAGCAGTGGCGACCTTCCTGCACTTTGAGCACAAAAGTGTCAAAGACTTCCTCAGCTTCTTCCACTTTTTTATACAAAATGTAAAATATATATTTATGTATGTCGTCCTCAAATTTATTCATACCCTCCCGTGAAAGAAGGGAGAAAAAAAAACAGTAGCTGTCACTGAGATAAGTTGATATAACAAAAGTAATAATTAATAAAAAAATTTCGAAAATCACGACATCACTTTTGAACTGTGGTTCAACAGAAGTATAAAAAAACCAAAAAAAAACAAGCATGATGGGACCCATCCATCTTCTACACACCATTCAATCCTCACTAGGGTCACAACATGTTTTTGGACTGTGGGAGGAAGCCAGAGAACACAGAGAACATGCAAACACCACACAGAAAGATCCCAGGTGTCCTCACCGGGACGCAAACTGGGGATCTTCTAGCTGCAATGCAACGGTGCTAACCACCTTGTCCATCCATCCACTATCTATACACCGCTTAATCCTCACTAGGGTCATGGGGGGCTGGAGTCTATCCCAGCTGACTTAGGGTGAAGGCAGGGGACACCCTGGACAGGTCACCAGTCTATCACAGGGCTACACTTAGAGACAGACAACCAAGCACACTCACATTCACACCTACAGACAATTTTGAATCACCAATTAACCTCAACATGTTTTTGGACCTTGTGGGAGGAAGTCAGAGAACCCAGAGAGAACCCACGCTGCACGGGGAGAACATGCAAACTCCACACAGAAAGATCCCGGTGGCCCCACCGGGACGCGAACCTTCTTGCTGTGAGGCAACAGTGCTACCAACTGCACCACCTTGCAGCCCTAAGTAGCCGTAAACTAATATTTTGTTAAACAACCCTTTGAGCCAATCACTGCAATCAAGTGTTTTCTGTAACTCTCAATCAGACTTCTGCACCTGTTGACAGCTATTCTGATTTTTGATCCATTGCTCATCAGCAAAGGGCTCTAATTTCTCCAGGACAGTTTCGTTTGTTTTTTGTTTTTTTAAATTATTCTTTTCAAAATTATAATTTAGTGAAATAAGACATTTCTTTGAATTGTGGTTGAAAACAATTTTTAAAACATTTGTTTTTTCAGTTTCTAGTTATTTGAGTGACTATTGTGATTTTTGCCTTTTTTTTAATGGAAGGGTAAAAATACATTTGAGGACGATTGTATATATATATAAATATATATAAATATTTTTTTTCATAAATGATTCTGTAGTTTGTTGACATTTTGTAAGACTGTTTTACACAACCTCTTGTTAATAAAGTTTGGGGGAGTTTCAGAAAAAAAAGTTTGATCTCCTCATCCTTTTGTTTTTAGCTCAGAAAGCAATACATGTTGTGTTGGTGCTATGGTTTAATTTATCACTAATAAGTTTTCTGTTTTGTTCATATTGTGAGGCAGGGGGAGGAGGCTTGTGGGTGGGAGAGAGACAGAGACTGTATAAGAGGCTTTTCTGGTTCAATCCCTCAGTAACTGTCACAAGCAGTCAGTCAGTCACCTGCAGATGATGGCGTCGAGGGCATCCCAGGCAACATAGTTGTCTCAGTTTAATGTATGTGTCTGTTAGTCAACACTCTCACAGAATAATAAAGTGACTGAAAACTAAAAAAAACCACTCCCGAAGAGACAGAACAGATAGTATTAAAACTTTCTTCAGCTAAATCACACCATTATATATAATCGTCAGTACTTGTAAACTCTTAAAATCTCCTTGTGTTTGTTTTCTTAGTCACAGAAGAAACATTTGCCTTGGGAGATATGCCACTCCTGAACTACAGAGCAACAAATTAATTATATCGCATGTTGTTTTACTAGTTGGTCCTGTCTATACAAACACAGACTTGTGAATGTCTGTCTCTTCTTTCTCTGTCTTGTAAGAGCGAAGCTTGCCACGTAACAGTATTCTGGGGTTTTGACCTTTGTCTCATTCACAGCTCTGTCTTCTTGAGCGCTGCAAACACACACACACACACACACACACACACACCTTCACACCATGGTAATCCTCGGAGGGAAAAGTGTTCAAGTGTCATCTTGACCCTTCCTTCTCTTCCTGAGGCAGTAGGACGATAGGACTGCCTCACTCCACCGTACACACCCATCTCACCCCACCCCATCCTGCATTAATGCTCCCAATCCTCTTTGTGGGAGAGTGACGTCTGCTACTGTCAGAAACAGAGTTAAGCTCAGCAGGCACCGGGAGAACAGAGTGGAGAGAAGCTCCCAGCCTTAGGGATAACCAAGCAGCGCTGGGCTTCCAGGGGGACGAATCGCTGCCGCTCTGAGCAAGAGCTGACTCTCGTCCCCAGCGGCTGTTCGCGACTCCAGCCGGGAACTTACAGGGCTTTTGCAATTTGGTGTGCCGAGACAGTTGCCTCCATCAACAGGTTAACTACAAACTCTGCCCCCACCCCCTGCTGCCTGAGGCCCTAAATGTCCACTAAGGATGGCTGCTGACAAACTGGAATACAAACTCTCCAGTGGGCAACCAACACTGAATTAAGGATCGTTTGTTCCTGCATCTCCTGTGAGTTTTTTTTTTTTTTTTTTTTAAACAACGAGAAGTTTTTAACCATACTGCTGCAAAACCTGAATTTATGAGACCGTACCTTTTGATCATTTTTGGTTTAACTGCTGCACAGGCAACAAAGCAGACATCCAGACAGCTCCCTCTAATGTCAGGTGTGCATGAAAGGTGTTTGTGTGAACATGCGCTGGAAGCACCGTGTGTTTATTCGTGCTTCTAACTGAACAACAAATCGACTGCGTCTCTCGGGATCTGCTGAGGCCACTGTTTGCTTGGAGTGTGAGGGTGTGATTCTATTTATGTGTATGAAACAAGTCAGAAGTGCTTGACGAGTGTGCGTTTGTGTGTGTGTGTGTTTGTGTGCGTGAGGTGGTGGGGCCCTGTGGAGGTCGGAGCCCTGGATTTCCTAGAGATGGAGGGTCATGGTTATGACCGGTTTGGAGATGGGGAGAGAGACACTTACCAAATCGACTACCGAAGGATTGTAGGAGACATGGAACCAGCAAGGCCCCGCATTCCAAATAGAGAAGGGGAACAGCCTCACCCTTTCGGAGCCTTTGCACACCCAACACCACATGGACACGGGCATGAGACTGCAGCGCAGAGATACAGCGCCACGCGTATCCAAGCTGGATACGAACCAGAGAGGTCAGTCTCACGGTGTACATCAGTATATCATCCCTCTAAGGTCACGACCTTTTGCGGTCTGCAGAGATGATTGTGCGAAGCCTTGTAATTTCTGGAAATTGCATCTCCAGCACCAGCTTAGATGTTTTCACTTTCTAGTAGCGCTGGCTGTGTGTTTTTACAAGCCATTTATCAGCTACCTGGGCAGCCAACCAAATCCTCTTACCTACTGTACTGCCGTCATTGGTGTACAGAAGGAGTTTCCATTGACAAGGACGGACTCCTTTTGTTAGCGTTTCCTGTCTCCTGTCCCACATTGGTAATAGGATCATGTGTGTAAGAAACAGAGGTCGAGAGAGCAATGAGCAACATCCACGGTTTGCACAAGCAATAAAGTGATTTGGATATTGTCTTAACAAACAAACATGTTATTTATCTTAACAAGTCTCATTTTCTCTTAAATAAAATACACTGCTTGCAGCTTTCTGGATTATTGGACAGATGTCTGTGCCAAAATAGTCAATGAAATATGTATTCAAGTATGTCAAATCTGCAAAAAGAAAAAATCTGTAACGAATGTCAATTTGCCTGTGCATGTGTTCTGATGTTTCAGCATGGCTGACTACTTGATCAGTGGAGGCACTGGTTACGTTCCTGAGGACGGACTCACAGCACAACAACTTTTTGCTATCGGTGATGGGCTCACATACAAGTAGGACATGCTAATTTTAGAAAAGGCTCACCTTTTACTGACTCATTTATGGTGTCACTAACACACTGACACAAATGCATGGACACAAACGATATGTGAGCACATACAGAAACAGATGTACACAGAGTTATGCAATGTCTCCCATTAAATGTTTATTAATATCAGTGATGACACATGTGCTTAGGTTTTACAGGGAGGGATTATTATGAGTAATTCTACTTTCAAGGATGGCTCTGAGTGGTGTCACAGACATTAAAAGCAGTACGAGTGTGCGTTTGTGTGTGTGTGTGCACGTATCAGTGTGTTCATGGGTGTCAGTGTAGTCTCCTTAATGGAGGCTATGTGTGGGGTTTATCAGTGTGCAGAGGATAAATGTAGAAGATTTCCCTGGGGTGAAATGCTGACAGATTATTTCTGCACAGTTAACTAATTCAAAAAAAAAAATGTTGCTTTGTAGGAAGGGAGAGAGTTCACAAACACATCTATAAATGATAGCTGCTGATGTGTTTATTGGTGATTAATTAAATTTAGCAATACTTTCCAGTGACTTGTCCAGGGTGTCCCCTGCCTTCGCCCTGAGTCAGCTGGGATAGACTCCAGCCCCCCCATGACCCTAGTGAGGATTAAGCGGTGTATAGATAATGGATGGATGGATGGAATACTTTCCAGTTCCAAATCTGAACTTCTCATCACCTGCTCATTGCATTTGTTTCTTCCCTCCTTTCAGTGACTTCTTGATCCTCCCTGGTTTCATAGATTTTACTTCTGATGAGGTGGTAAGTATCATCACACTCTGACATGTTACACCTACTGTTCCATGGTGCATCATTTGGCTTCATACACATTTTCTGCACTGCTGGTTAAATCACAGCTGTAATTTCTGTTGTGGTTGCAGATTTAGTTGGTTGCAAGAAAAGAGCAATTTCTTTGGAAAAATAATTTCAAGCAAAGCGACAACAGTGTGCCTTTGTGTAGAATATGTATCCAATGTTTTTCTTGTTAAATCCCAGCATGTTATTCCTCTAGACAACAAGCATGCTCTTGTCCTCATTAAAAAATGATCATGTTTACTCCTATTTTATGTTGCTGTCATTAAGGCTTTGCTGTAATCCTTGAAATGAATTCCTACCTCTTTGCTATGTTCTTGAGATAAGGGTGCCTGAGCACAGGGCTGTTTATTTGCCGTGCTTTGTTTTCATCTTTTCAAGCTCTGCGGGGACATTAAATTAATTTCATGCCTAGGCCACATGGGTTACTGCTGGATAGCAGGTGTTCAAAACAGACACACACCTGCGTCATTTAACACTGAGCATCAGGTAAACTCAGCAAGT